GGATCCCAGAACTTTCTTGAAGGCCCCCGGGCCCGGTAATGAAAACGAAGGTGTTGGTGAGATGGAAGAACGATCGTTTTGCATGTACGTAAACAAACAGCTGTTTCGAGTGAAGCATAGCAGCGGATATGTATATATATATATACTAGAACCATCGCGCGCGCTTCGCGCGCGCTCAAGTTCTAGCTAGGCCCTAGGCTTGATCGGCTAACTCATGTAATATCATGTTGGTCGCTTCTTGCGTCCAGGGACTCCGTTGGAGGCCCTGCGCAAGCCTCGGAACCGTATAGAAGGGGAAGTGCGGAAGGTATTCAACCACTTGGGGCCCTCAAAGGCTTCCTGAGTTATTTTTGGAAGGTGAGGGGGATCGTAATTTTGGTCTGTTGTGCAAGAGTAGATCGGGGGCCAAGCTTGGAAAATAAAACAAAAAAGTGGGATTCCCATTTTTCCCCACATCCTGAGTGGGGTTCTTGTTTTCCCAGAACACCCTCTCCTTCCCACCCACCTCCCGCTCCATCTTCCATACAGCACAATATTAGTTCCTACCACACATACCATACCATACCATACCATACCATACACACCATACGTACCATGCCGTACCATACCATACCATGGCGTACCATAGCAGACCATACCATATCACTGCCCCTCCCACCCCTCCAGGGAGGCCCCGCCTGAGCGAGGAGGGTATCGGAATACCATACTATTTACATGGTTTCGTGCCCCTCCCACCCCTCCAGGGAGGCCCCGCCTGAGCGAGGAGGGTATCGGAATACCATACTATTTACATGGTTTCGTGCCCCTCCCACCCCTCCAGGGAGGCCCCGCCTGAGCGAGGAGGGTATCGGAATACCATACTATTTACATGGTTTCGTGCCCCTCCCACCCCTCCAGGGAGGCCCCGCCTGAGCGAGGAGGGTATCGGAATACCATACTATTTACATGGTTTCGTGCCCCTCCCACCCCTCCAGGGAGGCCCCGCCTGAGCGAGGAGGGTATCGGAATACCATACTATTTACATGGTTTCGTGCCCCTCCCACCCCTCCAGGGAGGCCCCGCCTGAGCGAGGAGGGTATCGGAATACCATACTATTTACATGGTTTCGTGCCCCTCCCACCCCTCCAGGGAGGCCCCGCCTGAGCGAGGAGGGTATCGGAATACCATACTATTTACATGGTTTCGTGCCCCTCCCACCCCTCCAGGGAGGCCCCGCCTGAGCGAGGAGGGTATCGGAATACCATACTATTTACATGGTTTCGTGCCCCTCCCACCCCTCCAGGGAGGCCCCGCCTGAGCGAGGAGGGTATCGGAATACCATACTATTTACATGGTTTCGTGCCCCTCCCACCCCTCCAGGGAGGCCCCGCCTGAGCGAGGAGGGTATCGGAATACCATACTATTTACATGGTTTCGTGCCCCTCCCACCCCTCCAGGGAGGCCCCGCCTGAGCGAGGAGGGTATCGGAATACCATACTATTTACATGGTTTCGTGCCCCTCCCACCCCTCCAGGGAGGCCCCGCCTGAGCGAGGAGGGTATCGGAATACCATACTATTTACATGGTTTCGTGCCCCTCCCACCCCTCCAGGGAGGCCCCGCCTGAGCGAGGAGGGTATCGGAATACCATACTATTTACATGGTTTCGTGCCCCTCCCACCCCTCCAGGGAGGCCCCGCCTGAGCGAGGAGGGTATCGGAATACCATACTATTTACATGGTTTCGTGCCCCTCCCACCCCTCCAGGGAGGCCCCGCCTGAGCGAGGAGGGTATCGGAATACCATACTATTTACATGGTTTCGTGCCCCTCCCACCCCTCCAGGGAGGCCCCGCCTGAGCGAGGAGGGTATCGGAATACCATACTATTTACATGGTTTCGTGCCCCTCCCACCCCTCCAGGGAGGCCCCGCCTGAGCGAGGAGGGTATATCGGAATACCATACTATTTACATGGTTTCGTGCCCCTCCCACCCCTCCAGGGAGGCCCCGCCTGAGCGAGGAGGGTATCGGAATACCATACTATTTACATGGTTTCGTGCCCCTCCCACCCCTCCAGGGAGGCCCCGCCTGAGCGAGGAGGGTATCGGAATACCATACTATTTACATGGTTTCGTGCCCCTCCCACCCCTCCAGGGAGGCCCAGCCTGAGCGAGGAGGGTATCGGAATACCATACTATTTACATGGTTTCGTGCCCCTCCCACCCCTCCTGCGTCGCGAGGAGGGCATCAAGAAAATGGGTCCCACGAAACCGTTAATCTCTTTGTGTGGGGAACTCCGTTAGCATAATTTCCAGTTCCTCGGCGCTTTTCGGCGCTGTTTTTTTGTTTGTGCCTCGCGGGTTTTGTTAGCCGGGCCCGTCAGGGGTGTGGGATCTTCCAGACACCCTGGGGCTTCTGGAGGCCTCCTGGAGGCCTGGAGAGCCGTCGGAAGGGTGTCTCGGGCTGCGCGAGAGCGTGTTGGGCCGTTCTTTACGTTATGGGGGCTCCTTGGGGTCGTCATGGGCTGTCCTTCGGCGTCTTGGGGTCTCCCCCAAGGGAAGCTTGGAGGCGCGGTACCGGCCAGATGTCAGGGGATGTGTGGAACCCCCGAGTAGGAGTCCCACTTTTCTGAAGAAGGGAATTCTGGGAATTCCCTTCTTTAGAAAAGTGGCTGTCTTCTTCTGGGACCCCTCTCGGGCGCTTCTTGGGCTTCTCTTGGGCCGTCTTGGGGGCCGATTGGGCCGTCCTGCGTTCCTCCTGGGCCGTCTTGGAGATTTCTTAAGGCATCCTAGGCCGTTTTGGGGGGCCGCTTCGGCCGTCTTGGACGCGGTGACAGCCCAAGAGGCGAGCATGCCAAAAATTTACGTTTTTACCTAACAGCGTTTGCTGATAGGTTTCTAGTAGGGTCAAAAGAGAGCATCATGACTCCTCAGGGGGCTCTGGGCGGGTGCCGGGGAGGAGAACCGGGAATCGTTTTTCGCCAACAGTCACACACTTCGTGCTCTTCGACCTCCCAGAACTCCATTCCCGGGCCACATTCTGGAGAACCGGGAACCGAGCCGGGCTCGCTTTTCGCCAACAGTCACACACTTCGTGCTCTTCGATCCCAGAACTCCATTCCCGGGCCACATTCTGAATGCCCGGAGCCAACTGTAGGCCACTTCGTGCTCTTCGATTCCCAGAACTCCATTCCCGGGCCACATTTTGGATGCCCGGAGCCAACTGTAGGCCACTTCGTGCTCTTCAAGTTCCCAGAACTCCATTCCCGGGCATGATTTTGAATGCCCGGAGCCAACTGTAGGCCACTTCGTGTTCTTCTAGTTCCCAGAACTCCATTCCTGGGCCACATTTTGAATGCTGAGGCAGGCTGATGCTGCGGCCGAGGCAGGCTGAGGCTGAGGCAGGCTGAGGCTGAGGCCGAGGCTGAAGGCAGACTGAGGCTGAGGCTGAAGCAGACTGAGGCTGAGGCTGAGGCAGGCTGAGGCTGAGGCTGAGGCAGGCTGATGCTGAGGCAGGCTGAGGCTGAGGCTGAGGCTGATGCAGGCTGAGGCTGAGGCAGGCTGAGGCTGAGGCCGAGGCTGAAGGCAGACTGAGGCTGAGGCTGAAGCAGGCTGAGGCTGAGGCTGAGGCAGGCTGAGGCTGAGGCAGGCTGAGGCTGAGGCTGAGGCAGGCTGAGGTTGAGGCTGTGACTGCGACTGCCGTTGCCGCTGCGACTGCGAGAACAGCAGAATTCTACAACTGGATTTTCATCTGAATCTTAAGGGGAATGCTGTCAGATATGCTTCTACACATCGCTGTTAGGTTGCTTTGCTGGGATAATCCCATAGGAATGGGCGGATTTTAGTTTCTTGGGGCTCTCTTGCGGTGCCTCTTGGAGCATCTTGGGGTGCTTTGGGGGGCCTGCTTGGGGCCTCTTGGGGGCGTATCGGCGCCTCCTGGGATCTTTTGGGGCCGAAAGCTCGGAATTCGAGAGTGGCTTTCTTTCTCTGGGATTCCTCTCGGGCGCGTGTTGGGGCTCTCTTGGGCCGTCTTGGGGGCCCACTGGGCCGTCCTGGGCTTCTCGTGGCCCGTCTTGGAGCTCTTTTGGGGGCCTCCTAGGCCGTCTTGGACGCGATGACAGCCCGACAGGCGAACATACGAAAAATATACGTTTTCCCACAGGAATGGGACGATTTTTGCTTCTTGGAGCTCTCTTGGGGTGCCTCTTGGAGCGTCTTGGGGTGCTTTTGGGAGCCTTCCGGGCGCTTCTTGGGGGCTTCTCGGCGCCTCCTGGAGCCACTTGGGGTCGAAACCTTGGAAGTCGATGGTGGCTTTCCTCCTCTGGGGCCCTCTCGGGCCCGTCTTGGGGACTCTCTTGGGCAGTTTTGGGCCCTTCGTGGGCCGTCCTGGAGCTCTCTGGGGCTGTATTGAGGCCCTCTGGGGCGCGTCCTCGGCCTGACCGACAACGAAAACAAGCAATATGCTAAACATATACGCTTTACGAAAGGAATGGGGTTATTTGGGCCCCTTGGGGCTCTCTTTGGGGCCCTATTGGGGGTCGCTTGGGGTGTCTTGGGAGTTTCTGAGGCCGCCTTGGAAGCCATGTTGGGCGTCTGGGAGCGACCTTCGGGCGTCCCGGGTCTGTTCTGGAGCCTCTTGGGGCCTCCTTGGTGCCTTCTGGCGGTCTTCCGTGAGGCACCGGGGCTCCCAGAGGGCCCCGGAGCCCACATTTGTGGTAGCGGCGCTGGCCCCGGGCGCCCAGACCCGGTGCGCCGTTATATGTATATTCTTAGCGTTCTCATTATTTGTAATCATACTCTCATTCATGTTCTTAGCATTATCATCATTATACCTCTTTTTCTTATTATTATGATTAGTACGATTGCTTTGAATATGTTTATTACTGTTATTATGAATTGTCCTTCCTCCTCCTCCTCCTCCTCCTCCTCCTCCTCCTCCTCCTCCCACCTCCTCCTCCTCCTCCTCCTCCTCCTCCTCCTCCTCCTCCTCCTCCTCCTCCTCCTCCGCTTCGATCGTGCACATCCTCGACCGCCGGCTCCGCGACGGAGCCCGGCGCCCCCAGCGGCGGCGGCTGGAGGCCCCCGCGGCCGGCGCGGTGGCCCTCCGCTGGCCGCGCGGCGCTGCCCCCGCCGCCGCCGTGCTGCGTGGGCGGCTGGCTCTGGCCCGCGGCGCGGTCCTGAGGTGGGGGAACAGTTGCCGACCAGCCACAGAGGGGGGAGCTGCGGTCCTCACCCCCTCTGGGGGAACCCATCGCATCGACGATCTCTCGAAAGGGGCGTCGACATCGATGGGTCCCCCAGGGGGGTATAGGACCACAGCTCCCCCAGTTGTGGCTGGCCTGAGTGGTCGCGAGGACGGGCCACAACGATGCCTGAAACGAGAGGGCGCTCAGAACGAAAAACGACACGAGCCCCCGGGGTTCAAGACGAACGCTCGGAACGAAGCGGGTGCCAAACAAAGCGACAAACGAGACGAGGCTGTTCCTTGACAAGAAAAGACGAAGCAAGGCAACAACGAAAAACATAACGAGATTGGGGACTAACCCTTTCCACGCAAAACACCACGGGCGACACAACCACATCGAAGGTCAAAACGCCGCCCGGGAAACCGGCAGCGACGCACCCGCCGGCCTGGACCGGGCAAACCCACGCAGCGAACCGTGGCCCGAACGACAAATCGACCAATGCCCTTGCGACATGCCTGTAGCAGCATTTGGCTCGGGGTACTCACCGCGCCCCAGGCCCGCGCGCAGCCACAGCGGTCTGCGTGCCCATTTGAGTAGTTCTCAGGTGGCGAGCCGAGAAACGTGTTAACAAATCGTGCGTTTTGACGTCGCTGTCATCACATCGCCGGGGGAGAAAGATCGGGGAGCAAGACTTTTTGGCCAGCGGCCGCGAGAGAGAGAGAGAGAGAGAGAGAGAGTCGGACGGCGGTCGGGCAGCGGCGGGGCGCGCGGGAGCAGCGGCGCGGCACGGGGAGGAGGGGGCACGCGCGAGGCGAGGGGCGGCCGGAGAGAGAGAGAGGCCGCGAGGGCGGGGAGGCCACGCCCGGGCCTGGAAAGCCCGCAGGCGCGCGCGCCGGAGGTGGGGGGGGGCAGACTTCCTCGCCTGCGTCTCGGCGGCCGGGCAGGGCGACGGCGCGCGCGGAGGAGCACCGGCAGGGCACATGCGGAGGCGACGGGGAAGCCGCAGGGCGCAGAGGAGGGAGGAGGAGGGCCCAGCGCGGGCAGGAGGGAGGCGGAAGCCGGGCCCGCTCAGAGCGGGGCCAGGCGGCGGCGGGGGGGCGCCGGGGGCGGGGGCCAGCAGCAGCGGGGCGGCGGCTGGGGGAACCGACAGGCACCCCGTGTGCCAACACGGGTGTGCATCCTCGTTCCTGCCCGGTGTCCGCGGCCACTCGGGCTCGGGCGCTCGGCCGTTGCTGAAGAACGGCTGGGCGCCACGGCTGGCCCTTTGGCCTGCGCCCTCGACGCCGCGCCGCGGCGGGGCGAGGAGTTCAGCCTCCCTGGCGCCCGCCATGCCGTCGCGCAGGGGGGGGGGGCGGGAGCCGAGGCGGCGGGCCGCGGAAGAGGGCCGCGAGCGCGGGCAGCGCTCCGCACGACCCTCCGGGCCGGGAGCCAGGCCGCCAGGCGAAGGACCGCGGAGGGCCGGGAGCGCGGGGCAGCGCTTCGCACGCCGGAGGGACGGGGGCTGGGCAGGGGGCCCTCCGGGGCGGCCGCCAGGCTGGCAGAGTCTCCCTCTCGCCGAGCTCGCAGTCTGGCGCCGAGGGCTGCATGGCAAGAGGTCCGGGAAGGAGGTGAGGTTGGCGCGCTCTGTCAAGGAGGCCGACAGCACGCGCGAGCTCGCGCGCGGCCACGTGGTCGTAGCCAACCCGGTCACGTGCCACTTCTGTGAGGAAGAGCGCGGCTTCGTGTCGCTCCGTCTGGCCCACGAGGATGGTGATCTTCCCTTGTTCCAGAGCATCAGCTGTGTCGTCGCGCACGAGCACGCCGCCGAGGCCGCGGGCGTCGAGTACTCGAGGGCGTTCATCTTCGGCATCCCCGATCCCTTGCGCAAGTGCCGCTACATGTGCTTCAGGTGCCACGGACACAAGCAGCACGGCGATAAGGACTACTGGCTCAGGCCAGGGACAGACAGCCTGAAGTCGAACGGTCCAACTTGAGGGAGAAGCAAAAGAAGGAGTCGCCGTCGCAGCAGACCAGGGTCATCGAGCACGCCTTAGAGGCGGAGATCAAACAGAACAAAGACGGCCCTGTGGTACCGAACGTCCGTCTGAAGGATATCTACGAGGCTGTCCCGAAGGTCAAGCGGCTGGGAGCTGCGACAGACTTCACCATTGCCCTAGGTGGAGATAACAACATCGTGTACGTGTGCCTGCACTGCAAGACCGCCCCCCACTAATAGCCGAAAGATGGGTGCGCTGCGCGGTGCCGACACGGGTAAAGAAGCCATGAGGCGAGGCACCACAGGTGGTGTAGGCCACTGGAGGTGCGTGAGCAAGAGGTGCAGACCCAGGAGGTCAGTGCAGGGCAAGGGCAAGAACGCGCGGGAGCACCACGTCAACATCTTCCCGTTTCGCTCCATCGTTGCGAAGGGCGGCATGGAGATGGCCAGCGACAAGGAGGTGAGGCGGATCGAGCAGCCTGAGAAGCACGGCCCGGAGGACCACGCGGAGATGATCTACTTCGGCCACGCGACCCCAGATCAGGAGGGCACCCTCGAGATCCCGAGGGCAGCCAAGCTGGCGTCGGTCATCAACACCGCGAGGGGGAGAAGATCAAGCTGGACGGGCTGTTGGAGAAGGAGATTGGCGCAATCATGGACACCATCGACTCCAGCAACGAGGCGGCTCAAAAGACGCTCGTCAAGCACGTGCCCACGATCTCGGAGGAGGAGGATCACGGAGGACACGCGCAGGGACTTGCAGGTCCGCGCCCACTGCGAGGACGGCCGCCTCTCTCGGGATCACGAGCCACTACCGCGCCCCCCGCCCGCCCGAGAGCTGCCCCATACTGAACGAGGTGGAGCGCGACAGGGCGATTGGTCGCCTGCTCCCGTTCTTCGACCTCTCTGGCTCCACGGGCTCGGGGCCCCAGGGGTGGCCGGAAAGCAGGGCGAGCTCGCGCAGCTGCGGGGGCGCGCGATCGCGCGCCGGGAGGCGGTCAGGGGGGACCCGATCGGGCGCAACGGCTAGGCCCGATCCGAGAGTCGGCGACGAGGCGTTCTTCGGCGGTAGACAAACCTCCCTTTAGTAAACCTCCCCCTAGTGAAAACGACCTAGGGCCGAGATCGACGGACCTGGACCCGCAAAAATGACGGCCGCGACGCCCTCTCGCGAACCGAAAACGGCCAATTCGGTAATCGACGTGTCAGGTTAGGAGGTCTGTCCACCTCCGAGTTCCGGCGGCGGCAGCGGCGGCGAGCCTCAGACGGCCCTCGGGGGAGGCGCTGCTGCCACACGGGGAGAGGGCGGCCGCCAGGCAGACGGGGGCAGCGGGCCGCCGCGCGGCGACGGAGGAGAAACGCTCTCGGGGGCCCGCGCCCCCCCGAGCAATGGCCCGTGGCCACCTCCGTGGGGCGGCGAGCGCAGAGCGAGCGCAGCGGCGGCCAGCCCCCACGCGCCCGCCAGCCCAGCCACAGGTGTACGAGGACGGGGAGGGCGAGGAGGGCGAGGAGGACGAGAAGGAGGGCGAGGAGGGCGAGGAGGGCGAGGAGGACGAGGAGGACGAGGAGGACGAGGAGGACGACGAGGAGGACGAGGAGGACGACGAGGAGGACGAGGAGGACGAGGAGGACGAGGCCGACAGGGCCGACGAGGAGGACAAGGAGGACCAGGGGTCGGACGACCAAGTGTGATGACGGCGGGCGGCGGGCCAGACGGCCAAGGACACCGACAGCACGGGGGGCCTGCGAGGCTGGCCCCGCCGACAGACAGCCCCCCCCCTCCTTGCGGGGGGAACGCAAGGGGGGGATAGCAAAGGGTAGGGTAGAGAATCGGCTCACGCAGCTGATTTTCCCAGCGCCTCCCGGCGCCGGGATGACTACCTACCAGGCCACCCCAACCCAACCCTAAGACCCGAATTTCGGCGTGGGGGGGGTACGGGTTCCATCTGTGTTTTCTCGATGTTCCCCGACCCCCCCCCCACTGGAAATGGAGGTCAATTTGAAGCCTTCGGGTTGGGTTGGGGTGGTTTGGTGGGTGGTGACGGGAGGCGCCCACGCATCGAGGAATGGGCCCGGCGGCGAGGCCGAAACCGGCTGCCTGCAGCAGATTTCGTAACCCCCCCCTTTCCCTATCCCCCCCTTTCGCTCGGCCGATCCTTCCCCGAGGAGGAGGCCGTCTCCCTCGACTTCGTCCCCTCGACCTCGAGGAGCGGGGGATCGGCGGCCGATCGAGCGGCTCACCGCCCAACCGGGGAGGGGGAACCTCACCTGGAGCCGCTCAGAGAACGACACGCGTTGGGCATGAGTAGGCGGGTGCGCAGAGGAGGAGCACCCCCCACCACAGAGCGCTGCCGCTCAGCGGAGGTCAGCAAGGTGCCCCACGACCGCTGCCACCTCGGCCCTCTTCGGGCACCCTTGGCAGACGGGCCTGCGTTCCGGGGGCGTTCGTGCAGACGGCGGCGGCCGAGAACCTCAGCGCAACGGGGACACCAATTGAGGGAGCTCGTGCACCAGTCAGCAGCGAAGAGTACTCCCCGGCGCGGAGGCGGCCGCGGAGGGCAGCCAAGGTGCCCCACGGCTGCCGCGCTCCTCGGCCTGCGTCGGGCCCCCCCCCGCTGGGCGGGCGGGCGCCCACCTTCGGGGAGCATAATCGAGCAGACGACGGCGGCCGAGGGCCTCGGCGCGACGGGGACCGTCGCACGGTGAGACACGGCGGCCACCCGAGACACCCCCGACGCCGTGATTTTGTTCACAGCGTCGACCCCCAGAGGTCTGGACCCTTTCCCCTGGGACCGGCTTTTCACCCTGGGTCGTTTCTTGACGGCCCCGAGGCCCAGGAAGGGACCCCGGAGGCCGAACCTAGCGAAAAACCTCCCGTCGTGATTCGGGCACCACGCGGGGAGGTCTGGGTGACCGCGGCAGCCCGGGGTCCGAGCGGCGGCAGTGGCGAGCGTGCGCGGCCGCCCGGGGCGGACGCGGCGGCGGGACGCCGCGGCGCGCCCCGAAGGGGGGGGGGACGGCCGGGGCCGAGGAGCGGCCGAGGCCCCGCCCGCCGCGGGGCCCGCGCGAGGGCGGGGGCCCGCCTCCGCTCGGAGGTGCCGCGCGGCCGCCGGCGGGAGCCGCCGCGGGCCAGCGGCGCGGGGGGAGGCTCGGCGGAGGCCTCGCCGGGTCGCGCGGCCGACCCAGACCCCCTCGAGTCATGAAGACAATCGCGACGGGAGGCTCTTCGTTGCCTTCGGCCTCCCGGGGGCCCTTCCCGGGCCCCGGGGCCGTCGAAAAACAGCGCAGGATGCAACACCGGTCCCGGGGAAGGGGTCCAGACCCCTGGGAGCCGACGTCTTGAAAAAACCAGGACGTCGGAGGCCTGGGTCTGAGAGGGGCGCACCACCACCCGGGGCGGCGCGGCGGGGCAGGGGCCAGAGGAGCGGGCGAAGGGCGGCACCCACGGGCGGCGGGCACGCGCCGAGGCACGGAGAGCAGGGCGTGCGGAGGCCGGTGCCCGAGCGGGCTCGTGGAGCCCCGGGGGGGAGGGCGGGGCACGCGGCCCGCTCCGCTCGGCCCGAGGGGCGGCAGGCCTGGAAAGGCGTCGGGCTGGCCTCGGTGCGGGCGAGGGGTGCGGGCGAGGGGCCGCACGGTGGCCCGGCGGGCGCAGCGGGGCCCGGGTGCGGGGGGTCCGTGGACGGGGGCGCCCCCACGTGGGGGAGCGGGCATGGTCGCGAGCGACAGCGGGGCTCCGTGCGGCCCCCTCGGGACGGGAGCCCCGCTCGCACGCTGGCGCGTCGCCCCACCCACCCTCGGCCGCGCGCTCCGTGGGCGACAGTCTGTCTGTGGGGAGAGGAGCGGCCAGAAGAACAACTCACCTATGCCGACGACTGGGAGGCGATCGGTGTGGGGGGAAACGAGGGCGGCTGGCAACACTCTTCATGGCAGTCTCACTCGGCGTCTGCGGCTTCCCGGTGCGGAAGGTCAAGACGCGGGGCGGCCTCAAAGTAGACTGGATCGGTCTCCACTGTGACTGCACCAATTATACCATTGGCCTCTGGGAGGCGAAGGCGGCTTGGGCAGCATCCTGGTGCAAGGAGGCGGTCGAACGCGGCACCATCCACGTTAGCGAGCTGGCGTCGGGCTTGGGGCGCCTGGGCTTCGCGGCCCTGGTCCTGACATGGGAGAAGCCGGTTGGTCTCGACGGCCTCGCCGTTGGTTTCTGACGCCGCGTGGATCGTTCCACCCTGAGCGATCGGCGGCTTTTCGACCGCCAGCTCGCTCCATACGGGCCGATCCTGGACCACTGGCGGCGTCCAACCTTGAACGCCCGTGCAGGGGCTGCCGCCGCGTCGGCACGCACGAACCTGCTGAAAGCACTTTCGAAACTCCGCGCGGACCTCTTGGGTCGGCGCTGACCCCCTCGCCCCGGCGCGAGCGGAGCGCGCCGGCGGCGCGCGGGGCCAGAGTGCGAGGCCGCGACCTGTCAATCCACCGCCTGGGGAAGCGATGTCGGGGGTTCCCAGGGGGCGGTGGTCCTACCAGTGCTCTGCCCTCCGCAAGTCCGTTGCGGCACACCGCTCGCGCGCTTCGTGCCCCCATGGGGAGTTCCAGCGAAGGCCCCAGCAGGGGCCGCAATGGTCGCCCGCCCCACTTCGGCGCACCCCTCACGCGTTTCGTGGCCCCATGGGGGGGGCTACACCGAAGGCCCCAGTGGCAGGGTCCGCATGGCGGCCCCGCCCCATTTCGGCACACCCCTCACGCGGATCGTGGCCCCGTGGGGAGCTACACCGAAGGACCCAGTGACAGGGTCCGCATGGTGCCTATACGTAGATGTATTTTACCCCCCTTGGGCCTCAAGAGATCCACCGCCTCTGAAGTCCAGGAAGACGGCTTCACAGGCGGTGGATATGCACAAATCCCAGCCTCGGAAGGAGGCGCCCTCAGGGGGCTCCAACGCCGATCCGTAAGATCCGCGCGGGGCGCCGGAAGCGCTACTGTCTGAGCCGCTGGTTCTTCTCCTTACCATTGTTCGTCCCCAGACATACCATGTCTCTTTAAATTCCCAACCATCCTGTGAGTTGGGTCCCCATTTTGAATCCGCAGCGCCGCGCGTCTCATCCGCCATTATTTCCTTCCGTCCGTCCTTCTTTTTTTCCTCCTCCCTCGCCCTCCTCCTCCTCCACTTCCTCCTCCTCCGCCCTCCTCCTCCTCCTCCTCCTCCTCCACCTCCTCCTCTTCCTCCTCCTCCTCCTCCTCCTCCTCTTCCTCCTCCTTCACCTCCTCATCATCATCATCCTCCTCCACTTGCTCTGCCCTCCGCATGTCCGTCTCGGCACACCACTCGCACGCTTCGTGCCCCCATCGACGGCTAAAAACCCGCCGTCGTATCTTTTCACGACGTGAGCACGTCTGGCACATGTATTATTGTTGCTATTCCCAAACAGTGCTTGCACTTATGGGTTCTTACCCGTGGAATAAGGAACTGGCCCTGACGGTCCGTTTGACGGCTGTTGCCACCGTCCCCGCCCCGTCGCAGCCTCGACACCACCCGTCGTCTGGGCCTGACGGTCGGTTTTGCGGCCATGTTGCCGCCGTCGCCGCCCCGTCACCGCCTCGTCGCCGCGCGTTGTCTGGGCCTGCCGGTGGGTCTGGCGGCTATGTTGCCGCCGTCGCCGCCCCGTCGCCGCCGTCGCCGCTCGTCGCCGCTGTATAGTTTGCATCACAGAGAGTGCACCGCATGCACCGCATAGATTGCACCACATGGACTGCACTGCATAGGTCACACCACATAGATCGCGCCACATATCTTTCACAACATGGATCGCACCACATAAATTGCACCACCTAGATCGCACCACATAGGTAAGACCACATAGATTGCACAACAAAGCTTGCTGGAACTACACTGCTTGGGATCCACGTTGGCTGAAATGTTGTAAATAAACCACCCTCCATCAATGGAACTGCATCACAAAGATTGTACCAAATGCGCCACATGGATTGCACCACATAGTTTGCTCGACATAGATTACACAACATATACTGCTAGAGCACACACACACACACACTGTTTGGCGTCAACACTGGCTAACAGCACTGTGCCATGAAAACTCAGATCGGTATCATGTGTTTCTACCCGCAGGTGAGTTGGATCCTCGTTTTGCTTGCGCAGCGCCGCGCATCTCATCCGTCCGTTCTTCCTTCCTCCTCCATCACCCTCCTCCTCCTCGCTCTCCTCCTTCTCCTCCTCCTCCTCCTCCCTCCTTCGGCACACCACTCACACGCTCCGTGCCCCCCAGTGAGCTCCACCAAAGGCCCGAGGGGCAGGGCCCGCATGGCTACCCGCCCCGTTTCGGCGCACCCCGCACGCGTTTCGTGGCCCCACAGGGGAGCTCCACCAGAAGCCCCAGTGGCAGGGTCGACATGGTCACCCGCGCAGTTCGGCGCACACCTCGCACGTGTCGTGGCCCCGTGTGGAACTCCACCAGAGGCCCCCGTGGCAGGGTCCACATGGCGACCCGCCCCAGTTTGGCGCCCACCCCACACATCTCGCGGCCCCGCAGGGAGATCCGTCGAAGGCTCCGCTGGCAGGCTCCGCATGGTGGCCCGTCCTATTTCAGTGCACCCCTCAAACTCTTCGTGACCCCATGCGGAGCTCCGCCGAAGGCCCCAGTGGCAGGGTCCGCATGGGGCCCCGCCCCTCTTGGGCACAATCCTCCCGCGTTCAGTTTGGCTTGAAGCTTTCGGCGAAGCGTTCGGAGGTACCACAGGCCCCATTCTCGTGCATTGAGCGGTCCTGCTCACAGTCGCCTCGTTTTCAGAAAGGGTTGGGCTCTTCGCAAGGCAAATGGTGCTTACTTGTCGAATTATTGTTGCACTTGGTCGTCATCACGATTGCTATGAATGTGTGCAGTTTCCTGATTATAAAGCACACTCGTACTACGACTGGTATTCATGTTGATCGTCCTCGAGTGAGTGTTGTACTGTCGGTTCTTCGTTCCCATATCAAGAAGAAGCTGATTTGCCATACCCTGTGAGAATGCTATTCGTGAGTTACGGTTATTGTTATGTGTGGTAGTTTCCTGATTCTCTTTCGCGTTGGTAATTTCGATATCATGATTGCTGGTTGTCGATCTCTTCTCCTCAGTATTACTCGTCTTCACCCCACTACTTCCATTCCTACTGTCACTACTCTTCTGTTGCTTCCTACTCCCCCTCTTCCCCTATTCCTCTTCCCATGAGTCCTGTGACTCCTCCTCTCCATTCTATTCTTCCCGTGTTTCCCATTAGTCCTCTTCATATTCCTCTATTCCTCTATTCCTCCTCGATTCCTCTTCCCTCCTCTGTTCCTCTTCCTATTCCTCTTCCCATGAGTCCTATGATTCCCATGCTTCCCATTATTCCCCCTCTTCCTCGCCTCTCCCAGTGTTCCTCGTCCTGTGACTCCTCCTCCTCTTCGTGCCCTCCTTGCTCGGAGTTTTCCTCCTCGAGGTCCGGCGACGAGACCCGGAACGCCGAGGCCCGGCCCGCGGGCGGCTCGGCGCCGGCGCCCTCCTCCGCGGCGGGCGTGGCGGCCTCCTGGCGCACGTACACCTCGCGGGGGGGGCGCCTGACGGGGCCCTGGGACACGCAGATAGTTTCCATATTGTCGCGGATCTTCTGCGTGTTCGTCCTCCCCCCCAACTTCCCCTATGTTTGTCCCATACTTTCCTGGGAGTCGACGACTCATCGTGTCTGTGTGTCTTTTCCCCTCCTGAGCGTCCCTTTCGAGCTCTGTACACCGACGCTTTCTCTGGCCCCACACGGAGACTCGCACAAGCAAGCGGATCCCAGTGCAAACGGCATCCTGGTGCATACGGCATCCTGGCATCCTGGTGTCTACACCACACCACCCCGACGTCGTCCCCGACCCTCAGAAAGTCCTGGGATTGGAAAACAGCCCGCCACTGGTAACGTATATGCTCCAGTTACCAGCGTTGGGCTCCTCTGGGCTCTGTTGAGACTGGCGGCGCGCACAAGGGGGAGGCAACGAGCGACAGAGGAGCGCGTCCCAGTTGCCCGAGCGCGCCCTACGAAGGGATGTGGCACACCTTGCTTCTTAGCTGGGTGCTGGGCACGCTCCAACCGAACTAGCTTCGATCGTTGGTTAGCACGTGGTTGGGGGCTCAGGCGAGAGTCCTTTACAAACCTGCCGAAGGTTCCTGACCTGTTCATGCCCCATCCAAGAAGGAGGCACACCGCCGACAGAAGACGAACAGACCAACCTCGGCCATCGCGAGGCCGAGGGCGCGGAAGGCCCCAAAATCGGCAGGGCTAGCTGGACGCCGTTCGGGGGTCTCTGGCTGCCTCGGGGAATGTCTTAAAGCGTATGTTCGCGTCGCGCACAAGGGGGTAGGAGGAGGGGGGAAGGCTTCTTAGGAGGAGGCTGCTGCTTAGAAAGCGCCGGCCCTACATCTGTAGATAAGGCCTGCGCCCTCTAAGAAGCCGTCCCCCCTCCCCCTATCCCCTCTGCGCGTGGCTGCTCAGAGTGGTGGTGGGAAGGACATCAGTTGGCGGCGGGCGAGGGGGGGGAGATGCGAAGGAGAAGGCCTTCTCAGAAGGCGGCGGGACTTCTCAGAAGCCCTCGCACCTTCTGAGAAGTTTCCCCTGTCTTCGGGGAAGGCCTAGAAAACTTCTCGAGGGCCGGGAGACTTCCGAGCCTTCTGAGAAGGCCCGCCCCTTCTCACTTCCCCCCCTCGCTCGCCGCCGAGTCAGGCGAAGAAAAAACTGCGTAAGTTGCTGGAGGTCCGCGCGGATCTCTTGGATCTGCGCTGGGCACCCCAACCCCCTGGCGCGCGGCGCGCACCAGGGGCGCGCCGGGACCGGAGCCGGAGGCGCCGCCAGGGGGGCCCAGCGCCCCATGGAGGGATCCGCGAGGGCCGTCGAAAGCTTCTGTTTGTGCCTCGTCTCCGTCTTCGAGACGCACTGCCGGGGAAAGAGAGCTGTGCACGTGCACCGATTCTGGCCAGGCCCATCCTGAGCCCAGGATCGGTGCACACGCCCCTCCTGCCTTAGCCAGGAAGGCACATGCACCGAGCCTGGGCCCAGGATGGGCCTGACCAGAATTAGTGCACGTGCGTAGTTCGTTTCGCCCAATACTAGTACTATGTGCTGATGTCGGGGCATAGGGTACGCAGGTCTTGTAGCCTGTCGTTTCTCGAGCGGCGTGGCCGCAAAGAGCGCCCGGCACGGGGCTTGTGCAATGAGACCTCTGAGCGCGTGCATCGCCCTTGCGAGGCCGACGCCTACGTAGTGTATAAGTATGTTTCTGTGGTGCCGATCTGGACGGCGGGCGGACGTAAAAAGTATGTTTTTTTTTCACGAGGAGAAGGGAGGGCGACCACCAGAGCTCCGCACAACGGCCATGAAAAGCCACAGCGTGAAACAGCGGAACGCCGCGCAGACCTGGGGCGCCACGCGAGCGGACCCGCAATGGGCAGACTCATGCAGCGAGCCTTAAGCTGGGAGGGACAAGCGGGGCAGAGCCACCCGTGACGCAGTTATTGCCCAGGCGTTCTCCGTGCGAGGGAAGAGAAATGGGACGCACAGAGACATACCAATGCTGTATGTCCTCCTTGGAGGCGCGCGTCACCCGAACATATAGTACTAGAACCACGCGCGCGCTTCGCGCGCGCTTAGGTTCTGTCGAGTCACAGACCCAGGAATCGTTGTGAGAAGAAATTGGTGACGCGAAGCGTCGTGGGGGCGTCCTTGGACGTCTGGGGTCTCCTGGGGCCTCTTGAGGGGCCTCCTGGGGGCCTCCTGGCGGCCTCTTGGGGCGGAAGGCTCGAGCTTGCGGTTCGTGGTCCCCCTCTGGGCCCCCTCTTGGGCCCGTCTTGGGGCCCTCTTGGGCCATCTTGGGCGCCTCTTGGGCCGTCTTGGGGCCCTCTTGGGCTGTCCTGGGGCCCTCTTGGAAGCTTCTTGGGCCGTCTTGGGGCGGTCTTGGGCGCCTCTTGGGCCGTCCTGTAACGTCGGAAAGCCCAAAAGACAACTTTGTTGAACATGTACGTTTTACGAAGGGAATGGGCCAATTTTTGCGTCTAGGGGCCCTCTTGGGACGCATGTTGGAGGCTTCTTGGGGCCTCTTGGGGGCGTCCTTGGACGTCTGGGGTCTCCTGGGGCCTCTTGAGGGGCCTCCTGGGGGCCTCCTGGCGGCCTCTTGGGGCGGAAGGCTCGAGCTTGCGGTTCGTGGTCCCCCTCTGGGCCCCCTCTTGGGCCCGTCTTGGGGCCCTCTTGGGCCATCTTGGGCGCCTCTTGGGCCGTCTTGGGGCCCTCTTGGGCTGTCCTGGGGCCCTCTGGGAAACTTCTTGGGCCGTCTTGGGGCGGTCTTGGGCGCCTCTTGGGCCGTCCTGTAACGTCGGAAAGCCCAAAAGGCGACTTTGTTGAAAATGTACGTTTTACGAAGGGAATGGGCCAATTCTTGCGTCTAGGGGCCCTCTTGGGACGCATGTTGGAGGCTTCTTGGGGCCTCTTGGGGGCGTCCTTGGACGTCTGGGGTCTCCTGGGGCCTCTTGAGGGGCCTCCTGGGGGCCTCCTGGCGGCCTCTTGGGGCGGAAGGCTCGAGCTTGCGGTTCGTGGTCCCCCTCTGGGCCCCCTCTTGGGCCCGTCTTGGGGCCCTCTTGGGCCATCTTGGGCGCCTCTTGGGCCGTCTTGGGGCCCTCTTGGGCTGTCCTGGGGCCCTCTTGGAAGCTTCTTGGGCCGTCTTGGGGCGGTCTTGGGCGCCTCTTGGGCCGTCCTGTAACGTCGGAAAGCCCAAAAGACAACTTTGTTGAAAATGTACGTTTTACGAAGGGAATGGGCCAATTTTTGCGTCTAGGGGCCCTCTTGGGACGCATGTTGGAGGCTTCTTGGGGCCTCTTGGGGGCGTCCTTGGACGTCTGGAGGCCATCTTCAGCATCTCGGAGCCCTCTTGGAGGCCTCTTGGAAGTTTCTTGGACCGTCTTGGGCGCTTCTTGGGCCGTCTTGTCTGACTGGGGAGGCCCCCGGCAAGCCCCGACGAGCCTCCGGGCCCCCCCGGGGTGCACATTTGCGGTCGAGGTCCCGGCCCCGGGCCCCCGGACCCGGTGCGCCGATATATGTATATACACATATTGTAGCATATCGTTTCCCGAGCGGCGTGGCCACAAAGCGCCCGCCACGACGCCTATGTGATATGGATGGCGCGCGCGGCGCGACGATCTTTAGGCGAAAGAGAGCGCTGCTCAATCTATCTGCGTAGCTCTAAGGCCAAGGGCCCTAGTTCGAAACAAAACGGCAGCGGCACGAGCGGGCGTGAGGGATAGAGCGGGGATGCAGGAAGGGCACGGGGAGTGAGCGGGAATCACACTCCTCCTGATTGACGCTCGCGGCGCCGTCGAGCGACGATCATTGATCGCAGCTCACTTCATTGATCAGAGCGCTCTCAAAACAAACACAGGCAAACGGCCCTGTCGGCATGCTATCCGGCTGCCCCGGGGCATTTAACGGGTGCTGCTACACGCACCGGCAAGAAAGACATAAATTCTCAAAACGGCAGCGGCGCGAGTCCGATCGCTATGCGACAAAACTCAAATAGCGCTGTCTTATCAAAATAAAATCTCAATAGTGTGGTCGTCACCACATAAAAGGAAATCTGTGCACACTGAATGAAGCTTCGAACAATGCGGACTAGCGTAGTATGCCACAGGGTGTGGCGCCAAATGTAAAAAAAAACAAGCTGGTAAGACAATTCGGATTGCGCAATCTGCCACACGATGTGGCTCCAGGTGTAAAAGAAACGAACTGACAAAGCGGTGCGGACTGACGTAATCTGCCACAGGATGTGGCGCCAAATATAAAACGAGCTAACAGAGCAAGGCGGACTTACATAATCTGCCACAGGATGTGGCGCCAAATATAAAACGATGGCGTGCTCACGAAATCTTCTTTTGAGCTTTCGCCTTGCCGGGCAGTCCTTGTAGCTGCCTCCATCTGTTCTGTAAATCCCAGCGCAGACTATTGTGCATCCTCGAGAAATCTGGCTCATGGGTCACATAATTCCTGCGTAGCCATGTAGCGTGCTTCCTGCACGTCCTGCAGGTGATGTAGACACTGTGTGCGTTGTGTCCCACGCGTACGTTGTGCTCGGCGGCCACACATGCGTTCATTTCTACTGGCGGAACCGTTGGCGTCGATCCGTTCCAAGAAACCACGCTGGCTGACGAGGAACTGGTAACCGTCATCGGGGATGATGGTGACGAGCTGGCTCCCTGCGCGAAGCTGTCCGGTGATGGGGGCGGTGCGGCTGGCGCTGCCGATCCGCTTGCTGATGTTGAACTCTGGGCTGCGACGGCAATCATCGGCGGCTCCATGTAGACATCTCCGTCGACGTCTTCGGGAATGGTAGTCGGTACATTGTTACGACGTCCGAGGTATCGTCCATCCCATCCTGGATATATTCCGGGCAAGGGAGTGTCCGCGTGCCCGGAGTGATCAGCCTTGGACCCATTGCTAGTGTTGTTGATGGTCCCGATCTGGATGGGATTGGGGTCGCCTGGCCCAAATATCTCCCTTCGCACCACAAACCACAGCGCTGC